TTTCTCTCTTCAAAGGATTTTTACCTCAGCATACCCTAAATAGTGAACCCCTACAGTGAATTAATATCTCTGAGGATTAACTAAAGAGTTGGCAAATGCTAAATTATTAGAAGCCAAAATGAATACCAATCAGAAAGACAAGAAAATTTTTAGATTCTACTTCAAATATTGTACTGTAATATGACAGTGTTATCTAGAAAGTTATCTGCTTATATCCAGGTCTAATATATTCTAAGCTCCACTAGTGACAGTGGGTTAAAAAATTTTAATAGCATTTTCTATTTATGTTAAAACAAGAAAGTTATTGTTTGTACCCTGACACCAAAGTCCCTTTCTGGAAGGCATGATTCTCTCAATAGGCAGTTGGGCTGATTTTATGAACCCATCCTCTCCCTAAACATAGACACTGAAGGCAACCAGAAACCAAAAAACAGACGAAGTCTTTAACCTCAGCACTGGTGACCAGCAACACAAAACTGCAAAGTTCGAACCACTGGGAACCACTCCTTTAACATGAGGTGAACTCAGGGGCCATCACTGTCCAATTGTTCATAATTTCTCTTGCTTAGTAATACAACTCCATTTCTGATGTTACCTTCTTTATCATGAAGAAGGTTATAAAAATAAAAGAGCAAAGCGACTTCTGGAAATTTCTGGCCTCAATTCCAAGGGTACAGATAGCTATGAGTTACTACAGACTGTAAGAATATTTTAAATTTTATAACTGGCTAAAATGTTTTAAAATTCAATATGAAATTACGCTCTGTTGGATTCTAAAAGGATAGCCTATAAGGTCACTTCATTTGGACTATGCTATGGTATTAAAGAAAAACAAACAAACAAACCAATAGTAAACCAGAAATTTAAATTGCTATATACCTGTGGCTGTTTATTTCCACTTCTTTCAAGCCTTTCTTGCTTTTCCTCTGAAGCCACTTTTAAGTTGTGTTCTGCTGACAAATCCATATGTTCAGTTAAAATGAATGACTTAGAATAAAGACTATAATCTTTATTAAAATGGATACAAAATAACATACTTTTATTTTATAAATTGAGAGTTTAAATGAAGCTAAATGTTTATTGGAATATTTACATTTTTAAGAAGCACTTCTAATTACCTAAAACTTTAACAAACCACTTGGGGAGACACTAGATATCAGCAGGTTCAAGACATGCAAAAGTCTCAGGGTCACCCACAAATTATTCTACCCAATGTAAATAAACAAAACTGCTGGAAACAAAACAAAATTTAAAAATACAGTGAAAACATATAAAGTAACACTTTACCATTCTCTACTTCATAATAGTATCTTTTAAACAACATGCTAAGTTGTTATTTACTAATAATCTGCAAAATTTTTGTTACTGTTACACCTTTATAATGTACACCCTGTTTTTTACATCTGAAATGTTTTCCTCTACTATTCTGATAAATGTATTTTTGTGTTGTAAGACTCAGAATGTAGGCTGGGCACAGTAGCTCACACCTGTAATCCCATCACTTTGGAAGGTCCAGGTGGGATAACTGCTTAAAGCCAGGAGTTTAAGGCCAGTCTGGAGACCATAGTGAAATCCTGACTCTACAGAAAATTTGCCAGGTATGGTGGTGTGTGCCTGTAGTCCCAGCTACTCAAGAGGTTGAGGCAAGAGGATCCCTTAAGCCCAGGAGTTTCAGTTTGCAGTGAGTCTCGATCATGCCACTGCACTCTACCCTGGATGACACAGTAAGAACTTGTTTCCAAAAACAGAAAGAGAAAAAAGGAAAAAAGGCTCAAAATGCTATGTGAAGTCCTCCTTGAATCTGGCTATCTTTCTCCACATACACAGGCTCTCCGTCCTTGGGGCTCCCTTAGTCCATTTTTCTAGTGTCCATTTTTCTAGTGTCACTTCACCAACTGAACTGCGCATCATGTTTTTGCACGTCTATCCCCTTTGTTGCTAGACTGTAGCAATCATCTTTGTATAAAGTCTTTATTTTACTAAATGTTTAATTGAGTTCCTGCTAAGTGGTAGGCACTGGGGTTTAAAGAATGAGAATAAAAGCTGTCAGGGATGGTTTTTCTAGAGATCATGCATAGGCTGAGACTTAGACAGTGAGGTTCACCAGATTAAAAGAGGCAGAGGGCAGGAAAGATAGTACATGCCAGGCAGTGGCAAGAGAGGGAGAGAAGTTTCCCAGAGTGTATGTATTTGTCTACATGAGAGGGACGGCGACGGGGGCATCACCAGCAGCTCAGTAATGCCAGAAAAAGAGGCAGACAGAGAAAGGGCTGCAGATGGAGATTTGGGCAGAAGCCAGTTTCTGAAAGCCTTATATAAACCAACTATTACTGTTGTTTCTTAAATTTATAAAAAAAGCAAAACAAATTAGAAACGCATAATTCCAAGAAAAAGACCAACATTTTACTTTACTGTATCTTATCCTATTTGACTTGATTTTTCTTAGAGATGGGGTCTCACTCTGCCACCTAGGCTACAGTGTAAGGTTGCTATCATAACTAACTGCAGGATCAAACTTCTAGGCTCAAGTAATTTTCCTGCTTTAGCCTCCCAAGTAACTGAGATCACAGGGGCAGAACACCACACCCAGCTACAGATTTTTAAAAAATAGACACAAGATTTGGCGATGTTGCTCAGGCTGCTGGACCTCCTAGCCTCAAGGGATGCTTCTATCTCAGCCTCCAACACTGACAAGATTACAGGCAGGAGCCACCATCCCTGGCAACACCAATATTTTCAAATGAATAAACTGGAGCTCCATCATTTTATTTTATCATGGATGGGTGAAAACCTTGTAATAGACTCATGGACTCCATGGATTTGTGACAAGGAAACTATAGCATTAACTATGGCTGAAGCTTCCCTTGTCTCCCAGTCTCTTCACATGGTTAAGAGCAGAGACACTCAAGTGTCTTACCTTTTGCACCTTCTTTCCTTTTTTTCAAATTTGCAGGCTTCACAGCTGCTGTTTCTGCCAAACATGCAAGCTTGTTAGCTATTCCTTCTAGAAAACATCATCCCTCTGCCTCCTTACCTGGCAAAGTTTCACTTATGCTGCAGGCTTCCCCTAAATCCTACCCATTTTTTTAGAAGCTTGCAGTCATCACCACAAAGTTAAAAGTGCATGGCATCTAATGAACATAATAAATTTCTAGTAAATAATAACTATATGCTCCCAGGTGACAACTATCCTCCATCTACCCTCTACAAAATGGGTCAGCACACTGCAGACCACAGGCCAAATCCTGCCTACCATAAGTTTTTTCTCAGTAAAGTTTTATGAGAGTACAGTCATGCCTATTCACTGACATGCTGCCCATGACTGCTTTCACACTACAATGGCAGGGTTCAGTAGCTACGACAGAGATCACATGGCCTTCAGCTGCTTAAATCGTTCTTGAAAAAGACAGAGAGAGAGAGAGGGAGAGAAAGAGAGAGAGAGAGAGACCCCATGGCCTAAAATATTTCCTATTTGGCCCTTTACAGAAAAAGCTTGTCAATCCCTGCTTTACACCCTGAACAGAATGCCCTAATTCTCAAATCGAATCTAACGCCTCCCCTGCTCACAATTTTCCAATGAATTTCTAGAGCAAACACTGCTGGCTCCCTAACCAAGAGCAGTTCCTTGTTGTTTCTTGCTGGAGAATCACAAATTTGGATATTTCTTATCCCAATACCCCTCCCCAGCTTCAAAAGGTAAGTGATTATTCAAAGCTAATCACATAACCACATTTGCTTTCCCAGTGCCTGGTTTAGGAATGAACATGTGGTGTGACCCAGCCAATAAAGTATTACAAAAAGGGCTGAGCACGGTGGCTCATGCCTGTAACCCCAGCACTTTGGGAGGCCGAGGCGGGCAGAACACGAGATCAAGAGACCGAGACCATCCTGGCCAACATGGTGAAACCCAGTCTCTACTAAAAATACAAAACTTACCTGGGCTTGGTCGCACGTGCCTGTTGTCCCAGCTCCTTGGGAGGCTGAGGCAGGAGAATTGCTTGAACCCGGGAGGCGGAGGCTGCAGTGAGCCGAGATCGTGCCACTGGACTCCAGACTGGTGACAGAGCGAGACTACATTCCCGAAAAAAAAAAAAAAATTACAAAAAGTCCCCTGCAAGCTTCTGAGTTTTTTCTCAATTTAAAAGACACATGTGAAGAAAAGCAGCCCTTCCAGCCTTTAGATACTGTCTTGTGAGAACATGATGTTTGGAGCTGTTGCTAAGTAGCCAACCATGAAAGGAGACATGAACAAGACACTGTCAACAGCATAGCTAAAAGAGGAACACGTGGGATCCAATAATATCACCAGACAACCAAAACAAGTCTGGTTCTTATGGTTTGGCCACTGTTATGTCCTCTAGTATCTGCAGCCAAAAGCATTCTACCTCAGAAGTTTCCCCTGGCCTACAGGATAAGATCTACTCAGTTCTACACCATTAAAAGTCTTTTACGGGACTTGTTTCTAGACACAGGTAAACCAACAACAAAGTCTCTCCTAAGCCTGCCTTCACTGACACATACTAAACACGATAAATACATAATAAATAATAACTGGAAGCTATTTTCACCTCATTACCAAGCTCTCCATATATATTTTTTTGCACTAGTAAATTTGAACTGCTCATAAACTCTACAAAGTTCACTCAGGTGTCCTATCTTTTGAACTTGCTCCTCGTGTTTTAAAACTTTCATTCCTCGTGGCTGCTGCTTCTGTCAAACATGCAAGCTTGTTAGATACTCCTTCTGCCAAGCATCATCCCTCTGCCTCCTTACCTGGCAAAGTTCCACCCACTCTGCACGCTTACCCTAAATCCTACCCACATTTTAGAAGCTTGCATTCATTACCACAAACATAAACGTGCTTGGCACATACTGAACATGATACATATGTAATAAATAACAACTATAAGCTCCCAGGTGACATTGGACACACAGTAAGCACTATTTAAGGTGGTAAATAAATAACAGTGGTAATAACAATCTCCTAACTGTATTTTTTAAATGTATTTTGTAACATTGGAAAAATGCTTGGTCTATAAAAGATAAATGATAGTTATTTTTTAAGTGGACAAGTATATGAATGAATTAAAATATTTTTCTTAAAAAGTCTGTTAAAAAACACAAAAATTAAATAGTTATCTATATTCTAATATTCTATTACGAGCACCTTAAAGACAAAAACTACGTCAATTCCATCTTTGTCTCGTGCATTTGCCAAACCTAACTTATAGAAGTGGTTTGATAAATATATACTAAATTAACGGTGTCTTTATACAGTTCAGACTGTACAACACATTAGGTGTTATACTTTTGTTATTGTGAACCATTTTTATAATTTTATTATAATTTTAAAAAATTTTTTGAGCCTAGAGTTTGGCTATTGGAATATTTATTATGATCATCTCTTGCCTAATGGTTACCAGAGGTTTTTTTTTTGTTTTTTTTTTTTTGTTTTTTGAGATGGAATCTTGCTCAGTCACCCAGGCTGGAGTGCAGTGGCACGTTCTTAGCTCACTGCAATCTCCACCTCCAAGGTTCAAACAATTCTCCTGCCTCAGCGTCCCGAGTAGTTGGGAATATGGGTGCCCACCCCCATGCCTGGTTAATTTTTGTACTTTTAGTAGAGATAGGGTTCCACCATGTTGGCCAGGCTGGTCTCAAACTCCTGACCTCAAGTGATCTGCCTTCCTTGGCCTCCCAAGTGCTGGGATTACATGCATGAGCCACCACGCCCAGCCTGGTAACAGATTATCTTGTCCCAACAAAATTACTATTATTATAATTATCCAGCATATAAAAAAACACAGCTTGTTCTAAGAAGTGAATATATCTCATGAGGTTCCAACTTAGGGTGAATAAATTAAAAGTAGACCTTGTTTGCATAAGAATATGTAACATAATTTCTGCTTCTTGGGAAGGAATTACTTTTCTGTCTTCTGCATTCAGTAGGTATCTTCAGAAATAATCTCCTATTTGTATGGGTGCACAATGGCTCAGTTTTATGGTTCTTATTGCCATTTGTTTATGGTATCAGAAAGGGATTGTTGAATTTCCAGTTCTAAAGACAGTTACTTTCTTAGTGACACAAATTCCTGTGTAATACACTTGACCCTGAACAATAAGAGTTTGAACTGCAGGGGTCCACTTATATGCAGATTTTTCTTCTGCTTCTGCAACCAAGAGACAGCAAAACCAACCATTTTCTTCCTCCTCAGCCTAATTAACCTGAAGATGATGAAGATGAAGACCTTTGGGAGGATTCACTTATGTTTATGAATAGTAGGTATGTTTTTTTCTTTTCTATGATTTTCTTCGTAACAGCTTCATTTCTCTAGCTTATTTTATTCTAAAAGCATAGTATATAATAATGCAACACATACCAACTATGTGTTCATCGACTGTTTATGTTATCAGTAAAGTTTCCAGTCAATGGTAGGCTATTAGTAGTTATGTTTGGAAGGAGTCAAAGTTATACTCAGATTTTCAACTGCACAGGGATCAGAGTCCCTAACTCCCACAACATTCAAGAATCAACTGTAATTAACATTTATTTACTAAATATAAACCATTTACTATAAAAGTTAAATAGAAGATCCATTTGCATAACAAGTGCAATTTGTAACAATGTAATTATAGAGGAAAATGCAACATGTTAACTTAAAAATCTAATTTCTTATTTATATTAATACAAAAATATAATGTAGAATTTCAGGGATCATAAACGAATTTTTTTCAGAGAATACTGTTTGAGATTGAGAACTAACTTCTTAAATAACTGAATTCTAAACTAAAGAAATTAAATTTAAAAAATTAATTTATACATAAATATACATATTTTAAACTGCTCTTTTATGATTAAAAATACGTAATCTTACTTTTTTTGGTTTTTTTTTTGGAGACAGAGTCTCGCTCTTTCATCCAGGCTAAAGTGCAGTGGTGCCATCTCAGCTCACTGCAACCTCCACTTCCTGGGTTCAAGTGATTCTCCTGCCTCAGCCTCCCAAGTAGCTGGGATTACAGGCGCCCGCCACCATGCCCAGCTAATTTTCGTATTTTTAGTAGAGATGGGGTTTCACCATGTTAGCCAGGCTGGTCTCAAAATCCTGACCTCAGGTGATCCACCCGCCTTGGCCTCCCAAAGAGCTGGGATTACATGTTTGAGCCACCACGCCTGGCCTGTAATTTTGCTTTTTAAAATCAGTAAGACCACCAAGAGAAATGAGAAATTTACTATCAGAAGTCTTACCTTGATTGTCATTTCGAAGATGATTTTTAAGTATCTTATTTTTATGTTCCAAAATTTGTTGTTGAATGCTATGCATAATAAATGTAATAAATAAAATTAGTATTTTAATAGTGATATGAAAAATATTTACCAAACATATTAAATTCTTAAAGCATTTCAGACAATATCAGAGCTAATATCAGAACTCTAATGTCCAATACACTTTAACATTTTAAGCTCTATAAACTTGTTAAGCTTCTAATTAAAGAAGAAAAACAGAAAGTACACATAAACTGAGAAAAGCATAGCTCAGTAAATTAATTTTAGTTAGCTTAACAGCCTGGAAACTGTCCTGCACTCAGAGCAAGTCCTCGTTCTGTGACCAATAGGTATTTTGTTTTCAGACCAGTTGCTTCTCTTAGGCTCCATGGTTTCCTCTAAAAAACAAAGATTTTACTACTTGACTTCACTAGGTTGTTAGGAGGATGTAATGAGGTAAAATGTTTAAATGTTCAGAGAAATAGTAAAGCAATGGAAAAATTTATTCTTGAGCTGCATTGCTGGAACAATTTTGGAATCTCAAATAAAACCTGATGGGTGTTTTTTCATAGGTTCTAATATTTAAATGTCATAGTTTTCAGAGAATGTTATTAAGTGCTAATTTTGCTTATTGGTTCTATTCATTGTGGCTTGTAGTTCAGAGCATTTTAGCTAGTTCATAACTTGTAACTAAATTTATATATAAATATATTATTATCTCATTAAAACATATAACCTAATTGTCCCCTATTACTGAGCTCATCAATCACACCAAGGGCAGAAAACTAATAGATGTCAAAACCTGGCTGGGACAACTACCATTCCTTCTCTACCTCCTCAAACTCAGAGCCAGCAGGTCTGTGTCAGAGGCTGCATCTTCTGGGTCCTCTCCGACTGACACACAAGACAAAGCCTTGCTTGTATTGTTTTTCAGTTCCATGAAAGAGATGCAAGTTGATGTTTCCTCATTTCCAAGTCATGTACTAACAACATATTTGCATGTAACATCCCATATGCCACTCAGCTCTGTTCTCATTTCACAGATCACCTTACATGAATACTTCTATAATGATCATAATAACAATTTCCATATTGGGTGACTCCTGTTTTGGTTTGACTCACATTGTTTCCTTGAAGCTAGTTAACAAATAGTCAAATGACCTTCTGGGGACCATGCAACATGTGGAATGCTTTCTGAATTTGTGTGCCATCCTTAGGCAGCAGGCATGCTTATCTGTTCTGTATTGATCCAATTTTAGAATATGTGCTGCTGAAACAAGTATAAAGCCCTGTTTTATACACAGATACTCAAAAGTCATGGATGAGGCTTAGCTCTGTTAAATCCAAATTACCTACTTTAGATACAGAGAATTCTATTGAATGACTTCCTGTGAGGTAGAATTTTAAAATATTTTAAAAACTTGAGGTAGAGAGGCGAGTAGCCTGAGAGATTTTCATATTATGGAAACACATTATTTGTGGGGCCAACTGCAAGTTGGTGCCCCCGATTCTATTGAAGGATAATGTGGAGCCTTTTACTTTCTAACAATAGCTGCTACACAGGACAGAAAAAAGCCTCAAGGTACAGATGTGACAACAAAAGGCAAAGGGACCTCGGCTCTCTTCCTGCAACATTATTTGAACATCCCTAACTGTTGAGTACAATCCAACTAATATTTGCTAGAGAAAAGATGGACATTGGTCTCAAAGGATAACATGCCATGAAGATATAGGCTAAGCCTAGTCAGGAGGTGGGCTACAAGTAAGGTTTTTAGTATTAGTTAGAATGTCAATTTACTCACTGTGTGTGTGGGTAAAGCCAGGAGGACTTGCTGTCAGAGCAGGGTGCCGAGAACAATGGCTGAGCCTATGTACATGAACTAAAAAACACTGTAGCTGTGGGCCGGGCACGGTGGCTCATGCCTGTAATCCCAGCACTTTGGGAGGCCAAGGCGGGTGGATTATGAGGTCAGGAGATCGAGACCATCCTGGCTAGCATGGTGAAACACCATCTCTACTAAAAATACAAAAAAAATTAGCCAGGCTTGGTGGCAGGTGCCTGTAGTCCCAGTTACTCCGGAGGCTGAGGCAGGAGAATGGCGTGAACCCAGGATGGGGAGCTTGCAGTGAGCCGAGATCACAACTCTGCTCTCCAGCCTGGGTGACTGAGCAAGACTCTGTCTCAAAACAAAAAACAAAAAACAAAAAACAAAACCCACTGTAGCCTAGCTAAGAGGTGGGCTACAGATAAGGTTTTTAGTGTTGGGGGAAGTTCAGTTTATTTACTATGTGTGTGGGTAAAGCCAGGAGGCCTTTCTGCCAGAGCAGGGTGCTGGGAACAATGGCTGAGCCTATCTATGTACATGAACTAAAAAAGCACTGTAGCTGTGGACACTGTGTATGAGTCACCATGAAGAGAGAGGGATCTGAATCGGTAAGGGCATCCTGGTGGCAAAAGTCAATCATTACCAGACTGCAGGACCAGTTACAATGGCAGCAATACAGCAAGTGAATCAATGGAAACAACAGAATGACTAGAACAGCCTTTCCCTCTCTTCTTCTGACTTGTAAAGCAAGATTGTCTTCCTTGGACTTAGGGAACCCCTTAGCTTTTTGAAAAATTCAAAGCAGGAAGGCATAGGAGATAGCCCCAGGGGATAATACAAGATTTTCTGCTAAATTGGACATTTCAAGACCCAATAACTAATTAGAAAAGTCAGTCCAGGCATGGTGGCTAGCAGTTTGTGAGGCCGAGGCAGAAGAATCACTTGAGCTCGGGAAGATCGGCAACATAGTCAGACCTTGTTCCAAAAAAAAAAAAAAATAAATAAAAATAAAATAAAAAAATTAAAAAAGGAAAAGACGTGACATTATTTATATCTCACATATAAGGAGTATACTTGGAATAAAATAAACAACACTGAGATCCCTAGGAATAAAGGTCTTTAAAAGTCCTGAAAGAATCGTGCACTCATTGCTACTTCTAACTAGTCTAGCTTTCTGTTTGATTTCTGGCTAAAAAGTGGACTAACTAGTGGCCATTCCAAACTACCTCAACCAAACTATGAACTGTCACCTAATGTATAAGATGCAATATTTGTAATTATTTTAAGCCTTAATTTAGTGTTAACCAGTCTTTTCATATAAGCACGTACCTCCTCAAATCACAACAAACAGCATAATCCTCGGCAGTTTGGCCAAACATGTCTTGAGAAAAGATATTTACATTTTGTTGAAGGAGGAGGCTGACGATACTTGACGAGTTATGCTGCACAGCAAGCATGAGGGCTGTTCTAATATAAAGAAATAACAGCACTCAAGAACTTTAATAAAGATATTTAATTAGCAAATTGGATACACTTTACCAATTTCATATCTTGCCTGTCAGGATAGACATAATAACCATTTACATGTACTAGCTTATGTGTATAAGCATCTTGGGTGCTCAAGTGTTCATCTTGGTAAATTACCACCAAGGCTAAAAGGCAGGGACAACAAGGAAGCTTCTTGTCCCATTGAGGTATGACATAATACAAGTTACTAATTTATAGTCCTTTGATGGCCAAGAAACTGTGCTGAGGTCACTTATCTAAAGTAGGGAAAGATTTAGATGAAGATTTCCCAATTGCTTTTCTAGTCTGATATATTGTAATTCAAAGTCAGCTAGGGGTCAAATAAGTAAGAGCTATCTGCCGGCTGAAAACAACAGCAACAACAACAACAACAACAATAATGGTAGTAGTTGTAAACTGAAAGTTAAAGTGTACACTTTATAAAATTAATAAAATACAAAACCCCTTTAGCTAATATAAGATTACAGAACTAAAAACATCAGATTACAAATAACAGTCTACAAGAGAAGATGAATCCTACTACATTGTCTTTTTTTACGTTGCTCAGTCCAAATAACTGCTTTTCTACCTAACTAATTATTTACTATACGCCAATAATTATAAGCTAAACTTATTAACATTTCTGACTTGCGTGACTGTTACCACTCTAGAACACTCAGGTTTTTAGGAAATAAACAAACAAACAAAAAAACAAGCAAAAAACCCAAAAACGATTGCACCTTCTGTAATTGTCAACAGCATGTATATTTGCCTGGTTCTTCAATAAAAATTCCACCATTTGCTGTCTCCTAGAATTTATAGCAAACAAAAGTGGAGTGTTTCCTTCCTGTAAGAAAGCAAAAACAACTTATATTTCACAAAATTATGTATATCTCAACTGAACTAAAAATCTTCTATAAGATGCTATGAACTTAAACATGCAATAAAGAAAGAAAGTAAACGCAAAGCAGTCCTTTCCTTTTCACTCCTCTGTGCTTTCCCACACACTGCCTTGCAAACACCTCTCCTCTGCCTCCCCATGCTAACTTCAGTCACCTCCAAAACTCACTTTATTTACCAGCCCCCAAAACCCTTGCTTCTATCTCAGCATTTAGCACAGTACATTGTAATTATTTCATTGTTTCCCACTGAAACCAAGAGCTTCTTGAGGGCAAGGGCTGTATCTTTTTTCTCTGTAACCCTAAAACCTAAGATATAGTAGCAAATACTTTAAGTTTTTAAAATAAATTAATGATCTAAATTATTATCTCTACAGCAGTATTTCTTAAGCTATATTCTAAAGAATATTTGTTTTACCAGAAGAACTGTACCCTAACAAAAAGATTCCATGATCATCTGCATTTGAGAAGTATTACAAAACTGTATTATATGGCCAACAATCTAGAAATCCCTTGAACTTTGCCTAATCTCAACTTGACAATATTTTTTATGGCAAACATTAACATTTTAGGAACTAAAATTGCAGGGATACAGTTGCCAGAGCTTCCCAGTACAATTGGAGATTTCCTCTGGGTGGCACAAACTTGCTTGACTTAGTTCTATCAATGGTGTCAGGATGCCAATATCAGGCACTCCTCATCCAAAGGGATCACCAAGGAAATGAGCTCTGAATTAAAAGAGATTGCCTTCAAATGCACTTATTTTCCTTATCATTAAATAGTCCATGGGATTTTTCCTAATACAAGAGGATAAATTTTTATCTTAACTATTAGAAAGCTCTGTATGTTCTATATAAGAAAGACCGGTTAAAACTTTCTGAAAATAAATATTAAAAAGCAAAGGTCAGTAAGAAATTCTATTCTCAATTATAATGATAATCCTGGGATGCTAATGCAACTTTACTTTTTAAATCCATTTGTATTGGTTTCCATTTAAATTGCTATTTAACTTTTTTTTTTTTTTTTTTACTTTAGGCAAAATATAAGTCAGAAATAAAAATACAATGGCTTATCAATAAAAGTTCTAATACTGATGTATAGGGCTTATTTCGAGCATAATAAAAGCCAATAGGTCACTTGCATTTTTAAGGGACATTGCTGAGAAGAAAGATATAATGTCTGCAATATTTATAATCTATCCACTTCTCAGCAGGAATGACCTAAAAAGGCTTCTAGGCATTCTCATGAGCAAATGACTATTTGTGGTATATATATTTAAAAAGAGTTAAAAAAACTTCTGAATTCTAAAATTCAAGTCTATAATTGAGGGATTTATATAAACTATAGACTATATATTATGAACCAATATATGCTGTTTTGAAAACCTCAAAATCGTTATGGAAATATACTATAAAAAAGGAATTGTAAACTCAAATACTTATAAAGATGAAGGAGTTACCTAAGTAAGTGAAGTACTCAGGTGGGCACAGTAGGAAACTGGAGAATATGTGCCTCCTACACAGGACAACGTCTGCACAGCAGACCAAGCAGTGATGTGGTTCAGGGGACACCAGATTTGATTCTTAAGCCTGAGGTCCATATTTCTGCATGAGTCTACTAAATTTAACATGTTGACTCAATTTAAAGAGGCAAAGAAAAAATCTGTGTGCCACATTTAGACTCTAGCCCTTGTGTTTTTATATTTGCTATGAATGTGTTACTAAATGATTGTGTATAAACCAAGTATTTGCAAGTGGAACTTTTTCTTTCTCTAGTATCATATGTTTAATAAAAAAACTCAGGCCCTGACATATACATAATAAAAATTGCTGTTAAGACTCATAATACCCACCTCAAGAATTTTCCCAACATTTACTTATTTTTCAATCTATGTGTATATCATTTTCCCAGATTGCTAACCAAATAGATAATTAGTTCATAGGACTGCGGAAACTGAATTATTAAAAGAATTCCTATTTGTATTCTTATTAACTTCATGGATTTCAGTGTTTAAAACTGACATCCTGATTATGCCAAAGCTCTATAAACTTAAGAGACACACTGAGATAGTCCCTAATACAACTTCAACTGAAAAAAAAAAAAAGGGTTCAGGATTTGCTACTAATCTAATTGAGAAAATCTCACTTGTAATGAACATTTGTTGACACATAATCACTAGAATGGTGACAGAGGAACATGAAATTGTGAAAGGATCAGCCTCTACTTATTGAAAGATTACCCACAAGCAAATTGCTGAAGACTCTCTGAATGGCAGTGAATGATTCATGGTGGGAAGGAAAGAGTGTTATTCTGTGAGCTGAGAGCTGTTGCCAATGATATTTCCTTTCACTTCCCAGTCACAAACATAGAGAAAGACAGATAAGTCAGGCTAATGTTATTGGAAAGGAGAACTTTGAAGAAAGTAGCACCTATCAAATGCCAACTCTTTTAGAGATTTCTTATGTCTTTGAGATACGGGAATTTACATACTGCACTTATCTATTCTGTGCTTCTTAATCAGGAGTGTATTTGAACGCTGAGGTATTTTTTTTTCTCTTGCTGTTGTAAGAGACAAGAGTCTTACTATGTTTCTCAGGCTGAACTCAAACTCCTAGACTCAAGCAATCCTCCCACCTCAGCCTCCTGAGTAGCTGGGACTACCGGAACATGCCACCGTGCGTAGCTTCAGACAAATATTTTTAACTGTACATGTTCAGAACTTATTAGATCTATTACATCAAAATCCTCAGGGGGGAAAGCCTACACAGGTAGACTTTTAACAAAATTTCCCCAGGTCACCGTAACGCACAATTCTAGCTGAGAATTACTGCAGCAGACAATCACTTCAGTTTCATCTCTCACCCACACGGCCAGTATCCTTTATCAGGTTGGGATGTGGCCAGAAAGAGAAAAGAGCATGAGATAGTTATTTATGAAAACTACAGTTAATTTTCCTGGGTGTGGGTATAACAGGGACAAGTAAACTCAGAATCCCAGTTGATTTTGCTATTTATAAGCTCCTTATCTCCCACCTTCCCACCAAAACATTCTAGATTTAAAAGGAGAGTTTAGACTCTTATCTAAGTGGCTGTTTTTGCCAGGATGGGTAATAAGTTAGTTACTAACTTGTTCCACCCTTTGCTGAAGTGCTTCTCACTTCATCACCATCTACTCACTGCCAATCTGGTTTCCTCAGAGTCCTCTAAGAATTAATCTTCATGCAAGTTTCAATCTCTCTTTTTACCAAACCAAAAATGATTACCCCAAAGCTGAAGAGCATGTTGTCTCAATACATCAACTGGAAAAACAAACTAAAAAACAAAACCTCTTCTTGGCATTTTCCCTCATTACCTAATTTCCAAGTGACCTGCATGTTTTCGATTACTCTCCTTTCCCCTTCTAATTTTTCCCTCCTAAACCTTGCCAATGAAAGATACATCAAGTGTTTTTTTTTTTTTTAGAAAACTGTTAGCAGCAACAAGACTTCCATTTATTGTAAGTTGCTTTAGTTTTGAGTTTTAAGATAAGGCCTCTTTCCAGAGTAATTTTTTTCCTGTGATTTTTTAATACTAATTAGAAAAAAAATACACCTCGGGTAGGAAACAAATACTTGAAGAGAAGTTTTACCTTAACAAATTCATAAATATTTCCCATAAGTGCATTAAAATAGCTGTGCCCTCTAATGCTTCTTTAAAATTATCAATATTTAAAGTAAAATTTTAGACAATTAAGTTATTTCAAAATGTTTTCATTCAGGAACACTTGAGTTCCAAATATGAAAAACTGACTCTTACCTATGTCAATGTTAAAACAAACATTTTGAAAAGAAAGTTGATTGATCTATACCTCATTTAGTGCTTCAATATTTGCACGGTGGGAAAGCAGTTTTTCTGCCAGTGAAGTCCCCTTGTTATACATAGCATAATGGAGAGCAGTGTTGCCGTAGATATCCTTAATGTTTGGATTGGCGCCACGTTCCAGGAGAATAATGGCACAAGCCTCTTCCTGGCAATGTACAGCCTATTGGTGTTAGATAAAAAATTAGACTATAAATTCTAAGAATTCAAAATACATATTCCACAGGTTTCACCAACTAGTTATATTTAAATGAGATAAATTCATTTTAACTCTAAGTATTTAAATCAAATCCATTTCATGCTGAAAGAGTTGGCTACTATATACCTTCATTAAAGGTGTCCTGTTAAGTCTGTCATAGATGTCGATCTGGCATCTTCTCCTCAGCAAGAGAGTAACCACTTCTATATGGCCATGGACACAGGCAAAATGTAGAACAGTCCTATGAGAGTGAGAGGAGGTTTCAGGAAATTGCAGTGCAGTATCTCAAAACCTACCCTGGTTCATGTAATTGTAAACATTGAATAGCATGTTATTCCTCTGTCTTCAAAACAAATAATTTTCTTTTGAAGAAAATACAATATTTATTAGCTCTTACTGCTCCCTACCTTAATGAAACAGCAGCCTATTTGGATAGAATAAGCTTGGTGTCTAGATTCAGTTCAACTATGGCTTGAGTTCTACTTTGAACTCAGTCACATACCAGCTATTGCTTAGACTTTCTGTGCCTCATTAATAAAATAAAGATGACAATGGCAGCTAGCTCACAGGACACCATTATGATGCTTAAATGAGAACCTATGTAAAGCATTTAGAACCATTTCCAGAACAAACAACAACTCAATAACTGTTAGATTTTTGTTTGTTGAGACAGGGTCTTGCTCTGTTGCCCAGGCTGGAGTGCAATGGTGTATTTATACCTCACTGAAGCCTGGAACTCATAGGCTTAAGCAATCTTCCTGCCCCAGCCTCCTGAGTAGCTGGGACCACAGGAGCGCACCAGCATGATCAGCTAATTTTAAAAAAGTTTTTGTAGAGCAGGAATGTCACTTTGCTGCCCAGGCTGGTCTCAAACTCCTGGCATCATGGGAACTTACCACCTCAGCCTTCCAAAGTTCTGGAAGGACGGGTGTGAGCCGTGCACCCAGCCAGATGTTATAATTATTACTATTACTATTACTTAACAAAAATATTTTAGTTCAGTGAAATGATACAATTATTGCTTTTCTGCAGGATGATTTAAAGGTTAGGTCACATTTTAGTGTATCTGATATTGGAATGGCATTTATAATTCATAACTTTCTGTAGCTATAATTGGTAGCATTTAAAAAATCATCTTACTAATATAGAAAATAGTAGGGTATCACACAATCCATGAGGTCTTACATTAAGTAGAATATGGTGTACACAGCAGGTCTAGGGCAGTTCTAGGCATCTAAGTGGCACTTAAATACATTTTAATTCCTAAAAGTACCATGGGTAAAGAGCACTGAACAACATGTTTTCTTTAAACAAATTATTTCTTACTTTGATTTTTAAAAATGTGAAGGTAAAGGAAACTAATGATTGAGATGAACGGGTATGGCTCATTTTAGTCAACACTTAGATTTACAGAATATATGCAAATCAGACTTTCCAATGATTAATATTAGTATTTAAGACTGATACATTTTGAAAAGGGCAGTTAAAGGTTATCTCTTACTGTTTTCTACCATCAGAAATGCTTTTGCTTGAAAGGAGGGAGCAAAAGTTTCAATGAGATTAAGTCCTACTATTCCCACTTTAAATCTCTCACATTGCAGGAAGTCAGGGACATCAAACGGAGGGACCGGCTTGAGCCGTGGCAGAGGAACATAAATTGTGAAGATTTCAAGGACATTTATCATTTCCCTAATAATACTCTTATATTATTAATAATACTCTTATGCCTGTCTTTACTGCAATCTCTGAACATAAATTGTGAAGATTTCATTTTAATACGGACATTTACCAGTTCCCAAAATTAATACTTTTATAATTTCTTATACCTGTCTTACTTTAACCTCTTAATCCTGCTATTGTCGTAAGCTGAGGATATACGTCACCTCAGGACCATTATTGTGTTAACTATACAAATTGATTGTAAAACGTGTGCTTGAACAATATGAAATCAGTGCACCTTGAAAAAGAACAGAATAACAGTGATTTTCAGGGAACAAAGGAAGACAACTATAAAGTCTGACTGCCTGTAGGGTCGGGCAAAATAGAGCCATATTTTTCTTCTTGCAAAGAGCCTATAAATGGACATGCAAGTAGGGAAGATATCACTAAATTCTTTTCCTAGCAAGGAATATTGATAATTAATACTCTGGGAAAAGAGTTGCATTCCTTGGGGGGGAGGTCTATAAACGGCCACTCTGGGAGTGTCTGTCCTATGCAGTTGAGATAAGGACTGAAATACTCCCTGGTCTCCTGCAATACCCTCAGGCTTACTAGGTTGGGGAAAAATTCTGCCCTGGTAAATTTGAGGTCAGACCGGTTCTCTGTTCTCGAATCCTGTTTTCTGTTGTTTAAGATGTTTATCAAGACAATACATGCACAGCTGAACATAGACTCTCATCAGTAATTCTAATTTTGCCCTTTGCCTTGTGATCTTTGCTTTTGTCCTTGCCTTGTTTCCTCAGAAGCATGTGATCTTTGTTCTCCTTTTTTGCCCTGAGACATGTGATCTTTGTGACCTACTCCCTGTTTGTACACCCCTTCCCCTTTTGAAATCCTTAATGAAAACTTGCTGGTTTTGTGGCTCAGGTGGGCATCATGGACCTACCGACTTGTGATTTCATCCCCAGTGGCCCAGCTGTAAAATTCCTCTCTTTGTACTCTTTCTCTTTATTTCTCAAACCAACCAACACTTATGGAAAATAGAAAGAACCTACATTGAAATATTGGGGGCAGGTTCCCTTGATATCTGGTGCTCCAATGTGGTTTTAATTTTTCCTAAGTGCATGCGGGAACCCGATTCCCTTTGGTAGGTGTGGAGAAACGTTCATTGGTTCGGTCCACAGAAACGCTTGTTTGGCTCCCTGACGATTGGTGAGTTGTCTGTATATTCTCCAGGGTAACTATGGGTCACGTGGAGTCTAAACATTATGCTTATCTCTGCTATATTAAACTCCTGTTGAAACTGGGAGGTGTTCACGTACCAATGGAAAATATGGTCACCCTATTCAGGACAGTGGAAGAACACTGTCCTTGGTTTCCTGAAAAGGGAATGCTAGATGTGGAACTATGGGATCGTGTTGGTGCAACATTCCGGGAACTGGTCCCAACAGGAAATTATGTTCCCATCACTGTTTGGGGTGATTGGACATTGGTATGTGCCATCCTAATGACATAACAATCCTGTGATCCCCTGCAGTTACCACAGCTTTCTGAATCTGGCGACCCTCTACTTCTTCCTCAGCTTACCTCTCCCACACAGCCTTCATTGTCTGCTCAGCCTCTCCCTTCGCCTACTCCTCCCCCACCTGACAATGTTGAGAATTCAATATCTAACTCCAGTGACTTTGTCTTAATGTCACCCCCTGATGATCTTATTTCTTTTCACGAAGAGCCAGTACTTGAAACTCCCATGGCCCCGACTTGGACAGTCAGGGACCATATATATGCTAATTCTTCCCTCTTCAAACCTTTGCAGCATTTGCCTCTGGAGTCGCCTAATGGCTCCAGGACCAAACTACAATTTACCTGTAATTCTGCAGGCCCTCCCCCATCCATCGCAGCCCCTCATCCTCCTGTCATTTCGGTCCCTCAACTGGTCACTTTGCCATCCACTCAATCTGCTTCTCTGTACCTTTCTTCACACATGGATGCCAGTAATCGCTAGTATACTTCTGCCTCTTCTGCTCCTCCAATGCCCCTTTCTCACACTCTCATACCTGTCCAACCTCCTTAACCTCAGTTTCCCTTATCTACACATGCTTTTCCTGTCACTTCTATGCCAACTCCATCTCATGTGCCTGCTCTTGAAACTTCCATTCAATGCTTATTTCGCCAAAACGAAGAAACAAGTGGATTAAACGTGCAGGCTTATACAGTCGTGCTGGAACCTCCTGATGCTCACGGCCTACAAGTACATCAATATGTGCTGCTCAATTGTACCTTTTTAAAAGAATTTAAGGATGCTTGTACCCAGTATGGTCCTACTTCTTCATATGTTAAAATGGTATTATAGACTCTTTGTACTGATGTCATTTTGCTTCCTCTAGACTGGGACCTTTGGGCAAAAGCTGTTCTAACCCTGTCTCTGCATTTACAATTCTGTACCTGGTGGTCAGAGGAGGCCCATCTGCAGGCTCAGATAAATTGGGCTGATGGCATTCTAATTACCAAGGCTCAGCTCACAGGCTCTGATAATTATTCTGATACTTCTGCCCAATTAGGCTTTGATGCTGTCACCAAGGAACAAGTAACAAAGGTGTGTATGAGAGCTTGGGATAAATTATGCACCCCAGGCCAAGCTCTTGTTTCTTTTATTACTGTTAAACAGGGTCACAGTGAATTATATCCTGATTTTTTGGGCTAAATTACAAGACGTTGTTGAAAAATCTGTCTCTGATGAGTGTGCTCAAGGTATTCTCCTTCATATGTTAGCTTTTGAGAATGTGAACCATGAGTGTAAAATGGCCATGCATTCCATCCAACAACAAAATTTACCTGATCACGAGGTGTTCCCTGCATATATTAAAGCTTGTGAAGGCATTGGATCAGAGACCTACAAAGCTATTCTGTTAAAAACTTCAAAGTTTCTAACTTAGGAGCCAGCTCAACAAACACGGCCAAATGCTGCTGCTACTGTTTGCCCACCTTGTCGCAAAGGTAAACATTGGGCAAGTACTTGCTGCTCTAAGTATGATATAGATGGAAATCCCTTGCCACAGAACCACGGAAATGGGAAGCAGGGCCAGTCCCAGGCCCCAATATCAAATGGGACATCTCAGACTCAGACCAATGTTGCGTTTCCCCTTCAAGCGGTCCCAACGCAGCCCCCAGCACAAACAAATTTACCTACAGCTAATTCAGATGGGTCCCAGCCTCTTCTGTCTCAGTACAATGCTAGTCCACCTCCACAGTAGGGGGTGGGGTGGTCGATCTCTGTAGTACCATTCCTCTAAATTTACTACCTAATTCTTTGCCTTTAATTGTCCCCATGGGGTCACTGGCCCTTTATCTCAAGGTTCGGTGGGCCTGCTGTTAGGTAGGGCATCCACCTCTGCTAAAGGAATCAGCATTCATACTAGTCTCATGAATTCTGATTCCTCTGATGAGATTAAACTCATCGTGTCTGCCAAGGTTCCTGTTTCCATTTCAGCTGGTGAGTCAATTGCTCAATTACTTTTACTACCTAATGTTGTTTTAAACAAAGGAGACACGGGGCCCTGGGATGGGCTCTGGTTGTGAAAA